TTAATCTAACTTTTCAATGACATTACCTGTTGAAGCGAAGAAAATTGGACGCTAAAATAGAATCTCCCTATTTCATCTCTTTAATCAAAAACTTTATTTTCCTTTGAGCATTTGGATATCCTTCATATAATACATAAAGATTTAAGGATACAAATAACACGCTAATGGCTAAATTATCAATTGGTTACCACAATTCATCACTGATGCTTAGATAACAACATATATCCATGTTGAATGTAATGGGAATAATATTAATGGAAATTGATGAGAAAAATTATCTAAATTATTCCAGCTAGTAATTTAAATTCGCCGAAAGCGTGTTTGAATAAGCTCAAGAGATTTATTATGTTCAGAGAATTCTAGAGAATATCATCAGAATAAAATCATTCTTGTCCGAAACATTGGACGAGAGACTTGCCTTAAAATCATCGTATTTTTTTCAAAATGGCTGACAGTAATTTACCGGAAGTGGAAGAAATCGAAAGGACTTTCAACATTATTGAAGTAGTCATCGCCTGTATTGGGATGCTATTGTGTATAACATGTATTGTTTTACTACTTACCAATAAAAATAAATTGCAGACGAGACTGAAACTTTTACTAAGTCTTCTTGTGTGCGATTTTATTCTAGCAGTGTTGCACATAGTTCGGCCATTCTATTATTTTGATAGTATTTGGTTTACAGATTCTCTTGATTATGACGTCACAATTCAGCAAATGGAGGACTATTTCGCGCAATCATTTAATATGTCCGACCTTCCACGGATTCTTTGTTCGGACATATACTTCACAGTACAAATTACCGCTCTTGTGATAATGGTCGCACTGGCAGTAGATATTTTGATTCTCGTTCGACTGCCACTGAAGTATGAACAACTGATGTCACAAAAAAGAGGCAACATTTTGATTACAAGCATCTGGACCGGAAGTATTGTATTAGTACTGATATTTCGCCTAATTGTTGAACTGGATTGGTTCCGCGTTATTGACGTCACGTGGTCTTCTTATCCAATGAAAGAATATGTTCATTACGTCTATGGCGGATTTCAAACTTTGTCGAATGTTTGTTTTCTTGTGTTTATCATTTTATATTTAGTGATATATATTGAAATTCGGAAGCTAATGGCTCGATCTCCTTCGGCGGAAACACGAAGTAGTGTCAAAGCAGCGGTGACCATGGTTATTATTCTGCTAGCTTATGTCGTCTGCATGATGCCAGCCACGTGGGTAGTTTTGGCGGGAGTTATCACTCGAAATTCAAAATTGTTTCGTCAGTTAATCGTATTTTCAAGATGTTTATATGTCGCCAATTCCCTTTGTGACCCCTTGATTTATGGGTTCCGTATACCAGAAATTCAACATCGTTTCAGATCAATTTGTCAAAAATCGAGTCCAAAAGCAAATGATTTCACATCTGCTGCAACAACGGGAACATCATCTTAGACGAAAACAATCGGGACTTCTCGGACGACTTCCATAAGCCTTTCTTACGGAGAAACCGCAGAAAGCCGAGTTGTAACGATTAAGACGAAAGCCGTGTTCCAAGGTACCGAACTTTGAAAAGAAATCAACCGCTTTTATTGTGAATTTATTTCTTAAAAAAATAACATGTTTTGGATGTTGTGAAATTCGATGTTGTGTCATTTAAAATAAATCTAAACTTAATTTAAGCTACTCGTCTGTGCATTGTAAATGCCATTGATTGTACGTTCATTGTAGAAAAATGCGTTTTTCTCTTTTACTTCGTTTTCCATTATGTGTTTTTTTTTCTTCCTTTTTTGCGTTTTTTTTTTTATATTTCTTTTGATATTTAAAAGAATCATTCGACTCTCGTCCAGACTTAACTTGGGATTTTAAATTGTGCAATACTATTTTTATCATGGTTCATTTATTATATTTTGAGATAAGGAAACAACATCGTTGTACAGAAAATATTCCAGGGCGTGGTAGTATGGCAAATGGCTAAAATCGTTGTGCTTATTTATTCGCCTAACGATCTAAATGTATCCAGGGTGTACGATAAACAGAATGTAGGAAATCTAACTATCCATTTGAAATAATGGAAAGCCTAAGTTTAGCCCAAGTCATCGTATTGCATCACTGAAACATAGTTATGTACAATGTTATAGTATCAATCACGAGAATCGTATTAAATATAAAAAGAACGCGTTATTTACGCACATTAAGAAATTATGAATTTAAGCTATAAAAAGGCAGGGAGGTAATTAAGTTAAGCTATAAAAAGGGAGGAAATGACTAATAATATACATATAATATACATGTCAGATACATGTACATTAAAAGCTTTTAAAGCTGACGAATTGTTTGTCGATGATGATAGCCTAAAATCTCCATTACCTGGAGAAAGCTAGAATCAACTCCTTATTTTCTATTCATTCAATTACAGTAATTGATGTTATTAATAAAAAAAAAACAGAATTATACAAGAAACAATTTGTAAACAGAATCCACGTTTGTTAGTGAGATATGAAGTTCAAATTGCTAGATCTAACGAAAAATATGTTAATTTAACAAGAAAATGAAACAAATTATACTGCTATGCAAAACATTTGTACTAATATGTAATATTTAAATTGCATAAAACGATGTTTCTCAATTTAATTAATTAACTCAGTTTAGTAATAAATCCGACAAGTTATTTCAGATAAGATGGTAATTGATGCCGAACAATATAATAAAAATAGTTCGCTTATGTTATGCGCCATGGTTTCATAATTATTAATAAGTATTATCTGCAATGTGTATGCCATTGTTTCATAACTTTTTATCTGCATTGTGAATGCCACTACACGGTTTCATTATTATCTGCATTGAGTATGCCACGGTTTCATTATTATCTGCATTGAGTATGCCACGGTTTCATTATTATTATCTGCATTGTGTATGCCACGGTTTCATAATTATTATCTGCATTGTGTATGCCACGGTTTCATTATTATTATCTGCATTGTATATGCCACGGTTTCATTATTATTATCTGCATTGCGTATGCCATGGTTTCATTATTATTATCTGCATTGTGAATGCCACGGTTTCATTATTATCTGCATTGTGTATGCCGCGGTTTCATTATTATTATCTGCATTGTGTATGCCACGGTTTCATAATTATTATCTGCATTGTGTATGTCACGGTTTCGTTATTATTATCTGCATTGTATATGCCACGGTTTCATTATTATTATCTGCATTGTGTATGTCACCGTTTCATTATTATAATCTGATTTATATATGCCACGGTTTCATTCTAATTATCTGCATTGTGTTTGCTACGGTTTCATTATTATTTTTATTATTATTATTATCATCTGCATTGTGTATGTCCTGGTATCATTATAATTATCTGCATTGTGTATGCCACGGTTTCATTCTAATTATCTGCATTGTGTTTGCTACGGTTTCATTATTATTTTTATTATTATTATTATCATCTGCATTGTGTATGCCCTGGTATCATTATAATCATCTGCATTGCGTATGCCACGGTTTCATAATTATTATCTGAATTGTGTATGCCACGGTTTCATAATTATTATCTGCATTGTGTATCCCACGGTTTCGTTATTATTATCTGCATTGTGTATGCCACGGTTTCATAATTATTATCTGCAGTGTGTATCCCACGGTTTCGTTATTATTATCTGCATTGTGTATGCCACTGTTCCGTTATAATTATCTGCATTGTGTATGCCACGTTTTCATTATAATTATCTGCATTGCGTATGCCACGGTTTCATTATTATCATCTGCATTGCGTATGCCATGGTTTCATTTTCTGCATTGCGTATGCCATGGTTTCATTATTATTATCTGATTTGTGTATGCCACGGTTTCATTATAAGTATCTGCATTATGTTTGCCACGGTTTCGTTATTATTATTATCTGCATTCAGTTTGTATATGTCACAGTTTCATTATCATTATCTATATTCCGCCGATCTGATCAATTCAGTCGTCCCGATCACATTAATTAAACCGATGAAGTCCGACCAAGCTCAATTAAATGCACGTTAACGACTCACAAACAACCTCAAATCAATACTACACAATTTGTTACTTCTTCACAACCCGACCAAAATCCCGACTTATCCTTGCTCATCCAGACCTATACGTGAGTCACACACGATCTAAACAAGACTAACTGGACCTCTGCTCGATCATTGTCAGATTTACCACCTGACCAGATTGTAATGATCGTTATCTAGTTGTGAATGGTCGTGTATCGAATTGTTTAGGGTACAATCTTCAAATATTCCTACTTTTTCATCTTTATATTGTTTTGGTCACGTGAACAGTTATAATAGGTCGAATAACTAGCGATCGTGTGGGGTTGTGTAGCAATCAGGTACTAAAGTCATTCTGGACAGTCGACGGAACTGAGGTCGAGTTGATCGGATAACAACCGGATAATGCTCGAGTAGAAGTCGAGATGATCGTGTACAGATCCAGTAAAAGATGTATACCCGCCCAAACTAGATCGTAACATGTAACTAGATCTTCTACCCGATGTGTATACGATCGCTTCTCGACCGTTTATCTTCTCGGTCGATACTCGCCGCCCAAACTAGATCGTAACACGATTGATTCTCGATTAACTAGATCTTCTACTCGATCTGTATACGATCGCTTCTCGACCGTTTATCTTCTCGATCGATACTCGATTTTTTTTTGAGAACTCCAAAACCATTCGGGTAGGAAGCCCCAGCTATGCCGAGCAATGTAGACAACTCCAACCACCCCCGATCAGTCATGCAGACCAAACTAGGCCTGTACCCAATCGCTTCGTGTTGCTTGATTTAGTTGATTTGATCGGCTGTGAGAGCATTCATTAACACATTTCGTTTTTACATATTAGCAAGCTTTGTTTTTTTACTTATAACAAGTTTTTTTCTCTCATTTTATTAAGTCTTCTATCGTGTTCTACTAAAAAGGTATCAATTTCATACCTTCTTGATGAGGGAGAAAATGATAAAAAAAAAATCATGTTTTTTTTTTTTATTTCTTGAAGGAAATGTATATCATTATGTTAGAGGCACAAAATGTTTAATATGATTTAAACATGGTCATGTAAGAATTATTTACATCATTTCATAGGCATGCATATAATACTTTTTATAAAACATACAAATTATTTTGCCATTATACTTAAAAAGCTTTTCATCATGCAAACATTTCATTCACAACATCAATTTCATTAACTCTGCTAGCTGTGAGAATGATAATAGAGATAACTCGTCTACATCTATAAATCCGGAACTTCCTGAATTTCTTAAATGGACTTTTCCAAATTTAGTTTCTGGAACTGTCAATTTTCAGATTTGGGGTCATCAGGATGGAAATTTAAAAATCATCAGTCAACAGTATAGAGCCTGGTCAATCTCTATGGATGTCCAAGCTGCCATAACTCTATACAGCAGCAAATGTTTGTTAATGTTAAGGGGTAACATACCCTAGTATGTTAACATTACACAGTATGGCAAGTGTGTAAAGCCTTGCAGTCCGACAAGGCTCTAGCTAATGGCTGACCAATATACATTACATTAATCTTGAAATTCATCAAACTAACAAATGACCATAATCTTACACCATAGCAGAACAAGACTATTACAAAAGTAGTGGAAATCAGAGCACCTGGTTGATTATTCAAAATAATCTCGGAGTGCTTCCAGTGACATCACATATAAACAAAGTTAGAAGGTGTAATCTTTGTATAATGAGTTACAAATGTATTTATTATACACCTATAAATGAAATATTGACAAAGGCTGATGAAATTAAATGCGTATTTTCATTTTCTGTATTTTCACTATTAAAATTTATTTTTCACTGCAACATATTTTCTGTATTTTCACTCGTATCTTGCTGGACTACTTTCTTCTAAATTCAGCCAATACACAAAATTTAAGAGGATGTCTTTCAAATTATCATGTTAAAAAAAAAGAGAAAAATGTATATAATAAACAGAAAATTCAAGATTTTTCTATAAAAACGCGATCTATTTTATCTTGTGGTATGAAAATTATCATATTTCACTCGTGCCTACAACCACTCATGAAATATTTATTTTCATACCATTTGATTAAAATAAATCCTGTATTTATAGAAAAAACTTAATTTTCTTTACTCATATTACAGCCAAGGCAAATAAAGTCTTTTCTATGTACACCTGATTTTTGACAAGATTTTAAATGTGTAAGTTTATTTTTTAATATAACAACATTCTCAGGTGAGCTTAAAATATTGAAATTTACAATACTATATTATATCAAGTATCAATACATTAAAAAGCTACTTTAACTGAAATTAGTGTTTGAAATTATTTTCTGTCCAATAGGATTGAAGTATTTCAAATGAATTGTCACATATTTACTTTGGTAAATTGGCAAACAGTAATCAGTCTAGTCAATCAACTGTTTATAAAAATAATTTAAAACACCAAGGCAGTTAAAATTTATTAGTACACATTTACAAATTTAAACTGGTTGCGCGGTGCGCGGCCGTGCTGACCAATTTAATTTTGTAAATATGTACTTATAAACTTTAACCTATACATAAAACTGTTTGAGCCAACTAAAATTAGTATAAATCAAATTCTAATTCTAACAAACTTTATCTAATATTAGTGACTAGTTTTTATAGAGAAATTTGATTGTGTATAAACTTAACACATTATCTTTGGTTTTCACAAAACAGATTCCAAGTTAAGGTTTGTTAATACAAGGGTCAAAGTTGGAAAACAAAAAAAAATCCTGATAATAATTGTTTAATGATATGATATAGGCCATGCATTAAACATTTCTTGTTCACTTAGTTTTTACCATGTTTAACATAAATATTTAACTCTTAATGGTCAATCCACTAGCAAGCAATAAATATGATACATTCAAACTACTAATCTTCTAATTGCAAACCAAAATATTTTATAAGACAGAAAACACATACAAAAAAAACACAAAAACAAAAAATGTTTCTAACTTCCGGGTTCAGAATTTCAAATATGATATAAAATGATTGCTAAAATAAAGCTATATGTACTATATTGTTTGCATCTGAATCATTAGTGTTTGTTGAGTGCCTAGTCCACTAAGTGTTCAGTTCAGAAAGTGTCTGATTCAGTAAGTGTTCGATTCAGTAAATATTTGAATAAATGTCTGGTTAAGTCAGTATTCAGTAAGGGCCCAGGTCAGAAAATAAAATTTAACATGTTTGCATAAACTGAAACAATCTAGCAAAAATTCATGAAACAGTAAAATAATAAAATTTTTTAACTTCTTTGTTTCCCCAACTGACAAACAAACAGCTAATAATAACAAATGCTGTTGGTAGGACAACGTGCTCGACTAATATAAGTGCTTGATAGTAAAACAAGAGCCTGGATAATGTTGAACCTTAAGTTTAAAGTTTAAGGGGCCATAATTCTGTCATCCTTTTATGCTATGAAATAAGTATGTGAAGTGTGCGTGAACTCAAAATATATTCATTTTAATATTTACAAACAGACTGTGTCGCAATTAACAATACTTTCTAATATCAAATGTGACCATAATTCATCTTTAAGTTTGCTAAAAAGTGAGTGGTATATTTTCTGATCACTTTCTTTTGTTTGCTATAGCCACACAAAAAGTATAGAGAGATAGAAGAGGCTGTTGGGGGAACATTTTCAATTCTTACAAAAATAATAAGTTTACAGTACAGTAAATAACCTATTGAAACACTGTACTTCCTTAATGTAAAGAAGGAAAAATACCCTGTACCATAAACTGTGACTTATGTAAAATGTAATTGAGCCGTGCCATGACAAAACCAACATAATGGGTTTGCGACCAGCATGGATCCAGACCAGCCTGCGCATCCGCACAGTCTGATCAGGATCCATGCTGTTCGCTATCAGTTTCTCTACTTGTAATAGCGTTGGTAAGCGAACAGAATGCTGGTCGCAAACACACTATGTTGGTTTTGTCGTGACACGGCTCAATTGATGTTGAACAAAACTGCTTTCAATGAATCACTTTAACACATTAATTCATTTTGTCAATATAAAGTTGCACCAAATAAGAAAAGCATACATGAATATACATGTTGCTTACAATACATGTACATATTAACTTTTAAAGTGACAAAAGCTTATTTTAATGGCGATTGACATATAACTGATAATAAGAAATATTTAGGATAAGATATTATTTAAAAACTGCCTAAATATTAAAAAAACTGCCCCTCTTTTTATGAGCTGAATGTTACAGTTGAGTTCTGATGGATATTTAAAGAAATATCCTTAAGCCAAGTGAGTTATCGTTTTTTCGGAAGTAAATTTTAAACTGCAAGTATTTATGGCAAAATAAAAACTTAGTTTGACTTCCACCTGTTCAGTCACTATATATCCTTGGATAGGCATAATGTCACTTTAAAAAGAACAATAAAAAATATATATGAGCCGCGTCACGCCAAAACCAACATAGTGGGTTTGCGACCAGCATGGATCCAGACCAGCCTGCGCATCCGCGCAGTCTGATCAGGATCCATGCTGTTCGCTTAGCAACTCTTTTACAACATGTACAAGTAGAGAAACGTATAGCTAATAGCAGACTGCGCGGATGCGCAGGCTGGTCTGGATCTATGCTGGTTGCAAACCCATTATGTTGGTTTTGTCATGGCGCGGCTCATATATTTTAACACAGATCATGCAGATATGGCAACACTATAGATTTAAACATAAGGATCTCGATATTTCCTCACCTTAGTGCAGTAACAGTTTAACTCCTATCAGATTTAAAAGGAGATAAACCATCACTGCACTGAAGTGATGAATTTTAAGACAATAATGGATATAATTTTAATTGTCTTAGTAAGTTATATATATCATCATTAATAATAGTTTTGGAATTTTGGCAGCAACAATTCAAGAACTTATCACTAGTATACAGAAGTGAGATTAAGCTTTTACTGTAGTTCTCCATAAACATCTCAGCAGTGAATGTATGAAAGTGAAAAGATAAAAAAAAAAAAATATACCAATAGATATCAATATAATTGATCACCTCAAGTTTTATAAGTTTTTCACTTAAGCCACAATTCTAGTCGAAATGACAAAGTTATGAATTAAATAAAGAATATTATAGCTACAAGGTATACAAAAATTTGATGTCATGTAATCTATAAATGAGTTAAAAATATATTAATTTACACCAATACCTTTAACCAGTTTCTTTCCGGACCTCATCAATTATAAGATAACTAATGCAAGTTATATCTTCCATTTTTTTTGCAAAAACTTTGCGGGAGTATCACAGCATATGTGTTACGGAAAATAGAGAGAGAGGTTTTTTACAGTAAATACTGACAATTTTATATCATTTGGTGCTTAATAATTATAACATACCCATGAATAATACATTCTCACTTTGGACAAGATTTACCTACATAAAATTTTCACAATTAGTCAAAGCTCACAACATCTGTCTATTCTTGAAATCAAACGCACATTTCAGTAGCAAACCTTCAATAATTCATTCTTCAATAATATTCAAAATATTATTATTTTCAAGCACTCTGTGAATATTTTGTTATGGCATGCTCATATTAACAGGTCACACTCTTCCCTAGAAATTGTAAACCAGTCTCCAAATGCAACAATCTTATTGGTCAAATTCAAATCTGAGATTTTAACAAACCAATCAGAATTCTTGGACTTTTGACTGGTCTCTTTATCACATTAATAACAATTTTCATATGATCTTCATATAATATAAATAAATCGCCTTAACTTCAGTAGAAAATTATCAATTAAGATCCCACTTCTTTGAGATAAAAGATGGTTCCAATAGTGAGTTTATATTCAATATTTGTTTTAAATTCAAAATTTTCCCCTGCCTCCACAATGGTTTCAAGAGTACACACAAACACTTGTGTTTTTTTTTCTTCTTAACATGAGCACATTTCATTTCAGCTATGCATGAAGTCAATGTCACTATTTGGCAAACACAATATGTCTAGTCAGCCACCACATCAGTACTGGCTGAGCGAAAGATATAGACAGTATTAGATATAAACTCCTTTTGGTCCCTGATCCCGTGTAACCTTCGGTCTCTGACCTCGGCATTATCTGACTTTTTAATGTACGTACCTGGAAAATACAATGCATGAAATAATTGGTTATTGTACGGACAAATATTTGGTTTTAAGTCACTACACAATGTGATGATCATATTCTAGCTTTATTGGTGGAGGGAGACCCAAGGTGCCCAACATATATTATTTCAGGTACAACAAGGCAACTCAGTATGCTTGGTATAATGAGACACCTCAGTACGATTGTAGATTGTCTGTGAGCTTCCTGGATAGTTTCCTTACAAGAAAACTTTCTGTTCAGATCAAACACAGAGCAGAGTGGGGCAAATGATTAGCAGACAGAAACTGCAACCTCTCAGCCAAGGTAGCCTTTTTGTTTTAACAAGGTCAATCTGTAAATTCCCCTTACAGTAATGATGGAATCCAGGAAATAGCTTAAGATTTACTACAGTTCAAACATGTTAGAAGTAAGCAGCCGTCACTTGATAAAGCCAGTCTATGACAGCAATAAGTCATCAGTATACATGTATCATACAAACAGTTGAGATTACAGCAAGTTTTTAGTACATTAAAACTGATAGTTTTAAAAAAAAATTCAAGCATAGAAAATGAGAATTAACTTACCAAAAAGAAAACAATAGCAATACTGAACCAAGCTAGAACCCCATAGTAGCCTGTTGACTGAAACAACATTCCTCCTAATAAACTGAAAATCATCCTAGAAAAAAAGACGTACAAACCATAATTTAAACATAACAGTTGACTGTACATGATCGACTAGTCAGTTAAGCAAGTTATCAGTAATAACACAAAATATCAATTTTACTGGTGGTACACCTTTAAAGTGAAAGCAGCTATACAACTTGTCAATACCAGGAGTATACAGGTACAGCAAAATCAGCTACAATGCCCTCCTGTACCATAAAATCATATCCAAGTACATACACCGTCCTTTTGTAAGCTGCCTAGATAACTTCATCATGTACATTACAAACTTACATATAAGTCTAAAAAATTTAATCATGTGTCCACAAAAGCCGAAAAAAACTTTCTTATTCTTAAATATTATCGACACAATTTGACTTTAAGTGTATAAAGCTATATATCTGCTTCAAAAATTATTGTTTGAATTTTAAAAAATAATACTTCCAAAATGCTTGTATCAAATAAAACATGTAGATAATTGCCTTAAAAAACAAATGACGCATGCACAAAATCATTGCTAAACGGATAAAATCCTACTTAAAATAGCAAATAATATTTTGTTCCGGAACATTTTATTCTGTTTACAAACTACATGTATATTTATGTATGTTAAATAACAGAGACATTCTATGTTACAACTTTTTCCGGAATCAACCATATAATAATGAAACTAATATAATTTTACTGTTGATAAATTTTATAATACCCTTTCAATCCATAAAAATTTAAATGGACAGTTCAAAATTCAATACTGATCAAGTTAAGATTCATTAACAAAACCTTAGCTGAAAACTTATGTAGTACATCAATGTTAAAGTTGTTACAACTTACCCAACAAATTTGTACCCAGTGTATGACAGAATATCCATGTATTTGAGTTCCGTTGATAGATTCATTATGTATAAACTCAGCATAACAGCAACAAGTTCAATTATAATCCAAACTAAAGCTGTACTGGCCTGTAAACCTAGTTGTTCCGGTGTAAACCTACAAATAAAAAACATCAATAAATAGTCCTGTGCATATAGAATGAATTACAGCATTATTGTGGGCGTTACTTTTCTTCTTCATTACCCCTTATACAGCTGAAAAGTACAGAGATTCCTCTTACCCACCAGTATAGAGCCAGGCCATCCTGCACATACCTGCAGTAAGACCAAATATGACCAAGCTCTTTACTGATGGTGACCAACTTTTAATTTTCACCTAAATCACCACAGAAAGGACAGCGTAGCAAGTCCATATAAGAAATTCAGAAGGGTAATAATATAATAACTGGGGTAATAAAAATGTAAAAGTTTGAACACAAAATATCTTGTATTGGATTGATTCAGTGTAGATAAGTTACTCACCTTTCTTGTGTTCCTAATACTATTCCAGAGACTAAAACATATGTAACAAACGCCATTACTGAAGTAAGAAAGGCATATTATAGAAAAATTACATAATGTAAAGGAAAAATCACATGGCAATACAAATCAAGCTGAATCCCTTCAATTCCTCATATACCGAATAAACCAAACTGAAATATTTATATATAACAAATGTGGAAAACTTTATTTTTTAATCATCACATCTTTTTTTATAGTTGCATTAAATTTACTAAAACATGCCTTGCACATCCTTTAAAGTATTGCACTGTTTGGGTATAAAAGCAGCAATCTAATCAATGTCTTGAAAAGAAACTGCCATTTTTACTGTAACTTCAAAATAAGACCTTAAAATACAAATCCTTTTTATACGTGTGCCATGGAAAATTTGAGATCCATGACTGTACTATGTACTAAATTCTGATTATAAACGGTTAAACAAGAGCTGTCACAGGAGACAGCGAAGCTCTACTAATAAAATACTGGACGCAGTAAGGAGGACAATACTATGAAAGAAAAATCAATTATGTATAATTATGTATTAAGTTACAGTAAAAAAATTACATTTGTTAACATAAATTCCAAGATCAAGAGGAATAATTCTAAAAATAGTCACGCTAGAGTTATGAACTTTGTCACACAACATGTGTGTAATGATAAGAAATATATATTTGAAGTTTGAAGTAGATACCTTAAAAGGTAAAGAAGTTTCTTAAAGAAAATCCTAAGTTCAAAGAGAGATAAATCTGTAAATATTGCTTCAAGAGTTATGAACACTGTCACATAAAATGTAATTGATGATAAGGAATAAGTATTTGAAGTTTGAGGTAGATACCTGTAAAACTGAAAAAGTTATAGTAAAAAATAACATTTTTCTAGTGAAAAAATCTAAGTTTATAGGGAGATAATTCGCTACAGTTACGAACCTTGTCACATAAGATGTGGATGATGATAAGGTACATATATTTGAAGTATGAAGTTGATCCCTTAGAAATAAATAAGTAACAGTAAAAAATAATATTTTTCAAGGAAAATTCTAAGTTCAAGGGGAGATAAAATCTGAAAATATTGGTGCTAGAGTTATGAACCTGTTCACATAAGATGGGTATGATGATAAGGTACATATAGTTGAAGTATGAGGTTGATCCCTTAAGAAATAAAGAAGTAACAGTAAAAAATAGCATTTTTTAAGGAAAATTCTAAGTTCAAGGGGAGATAAATCTGAAAATATTGGTGCTAGAGTTATGAACCTTGTCACATAAGATGTGGATGATGATAAGGTACATATATTTCAAGTATGAGGTTGATCCCTTAGGAAATAAAGAAGAAACAGTAAAAAATAGTATTTTTTAAGGAAAATTCTAAGATCAAGGGGAGATAAATCTGATAGTATTAGTGCTAGAGTTATGAACCTTGTCACATAAGATATGGTTGATGATAAGGAACATATATTTGAAGTTTGAAGTTGATACCTTAAGAAATGACAATGTTATAATGAAAAATATTTTACTGCACCAAAACTTTAATCTGAAATCTGGACGCGGACGCCGGGGCGAGTAGGACAGCTCTCCATATACTTTTCGTATAGTTGAGCTAAAAATTATTGAACACAGAAGGTTGTGAAAAACAACGTTCCAGAAATGACCGATTTTCAACGATATTGGCCAATGATACAAATTTTTAAGCGGAAAAGCATTGCAATAAGGCTAACTTAAGACACAACTTTTTCTTTATAAAAGCTTAAGAACTTTTACGAGGTGGGACCATGATTACATTCTCATATAACATACTTTTGACCAAATCCTTTTGTACATATATGTACACTAAGTGATTATGTTTGTAAAATTGTGAAACACATTACCGTTACTATGTGTTTATTTCTACAATAAAAGGTTATTAAACTTGAAGAACTTTAACACATTCAATGGTAGAGATGAAAATAACAGACCCAATAACATATACCAACAAACATTGGATTGTGACAAAATCAAAGCAGGATAAATCTATTATATAAATTTAGCATGGTGCAGGTATTATATCTCATTATATGGCTTAATATATCACAGTCATAATTTACCTGGGATATATAAATCTGGTGCATTCTCGTCAAATCTTGGTGCCACTGGTTGATCCTGGTCAAACTTTATAGACCAATTCTGAAAATAAGAATATATAAATGTAGTATTACATATTTTAACCTGACCCGCATTTGTTCCTGTTGAAAATAAAAAAACTAAAAGTGTTGTAAATATGCATTAAAATTACTGTTGAGGATCTATATTTAGGCATGTGACATATCTACTAAAAATGTGATGCGGTGGAAAATACATTGTAAGTACGGAAACAAATCAGGCACAATTTAGCTGATATCAGGTACGGCAGCAATTATTTCTTTATTTTTATTGCCTTAGAATTGAAATAATATATCTCAAGCACTGATTTTATTGCTTGATAATATTACTGTTTCTCGTTAGGATGCACAACACTATATCGCTCTGGCTACGCCCTCATGATATAATTCCTCGCACCCAAACTCCAAACAATGATTTTATTTAGTGATAAAATCACTGTCGGGGATACATAAATTGTTTCTTAATTTTCATAATAAATATTTTTGTAGTAATTTATTATTTCTGATGAAAATATGGTCTTTTTAAATGAAAAAAAAAGCAACAATAACAACAACAAGAGCTGTCGGTAGGACAGCACGCTCGACTATTCTAAGTGCTTGATAGTAAAAGAGCCTTAATAATGTTAAATTTTTTAAGTTCACAAAAGGGCTATTTTTTTTTATTATAAATTCATGTTATAGGCCTTAGAGAGAGTCTAATTATACAGTATTGGCTTGACTATTCGGAAAGTAATGTCACAAGGGTGTTTTTTATTGAGTATAATAATACTAATTACCTATGAATGCATAAATTTGACAGAAAAGGTACAAAGGCTTGTTATTAAGATGTTTTATCAAGTAAATCACTGCTTTATTATTATGAATGCATAAAATTGTCCCAAAAAAGGCACAAACCCTTCAGTAGTTATTGAGATAACAGCTTAGAAGCAAAACTTTACCATGAATTTCTAAGTTGAAAAAGGGGAGAAAAATCAGCCTAAATGCAAGATAGAATTATGGATCTTTGTCAGTGACCTACAATTATGACCCTAAATGTGAAGTTTTAAATAAATATCTTTAATAGTTATTGAGATATGTAAAATTGTTACTATATAAAAAGTATTTTAAATTTCAAGTGAATATCTCAAGCAATAATTGAGATATTAAATGACTTTACAAAAAAACTTTAACCAAAATATTTCTAAGTTCCAAAGGGGCATAATTCTGTCATTATTGTAGGCAGAGTTATCCAACTTGTCAATCTGATGTACATTGTTACTATAAATAAGTATTGTAAGTTTCATTTGAATATCTCAAGCAATAATTGAGATATTTGACTTTACAAAAAACTTTAACCAAAATTTCTAAGTTAAAAAGGAACATTATTCTGTCAATATTGTAGGCAGAGTTATCCAACTTGTCAATCTGATGTACCTTATTACTATAAATAAGTATTGTAAGTTTCATTTGAATATCTCGAGCAATAATTGAGATATTTGACTTAACACAAAACTTTAACCAAAATTTCTAAGTTAAAAAGGGGCATAATTCTGTCAATATTGTAGGCAGAGTTATCCAACTTGTCAATCTGATGTACCTTGTTACTATAAATAAGTATTGTAAGTTTCAATTGAATATCTCAAGTAATAATTGAGATATTTGACTTTACAAAAAACTTTAACCAACGCAGACGCCGACGCGGACGCTGACGCCGACGCTGGGGCGACTACAATAGCTCTCATATTCTTCGAATAGTCGAGCTAAAAAGCACTGTGATCATTATCTTGAAACAAGAAAGTAAATGAGTACTTTAGATTCACTAAATTTTGTGGGCATGTTATTTCAAGGTTTTGAGTCAAAAAGGACATTTTTCATGGGTTTTTAAATTTAAGGATTGTCTGGGTTTTTTTTGTAAAAAAAAGTTATATACAAATAATGTAATACAAAATAATAATCATACAGCAAACAAAATAAAATTCTGTCGGTCCTATCCATTTAAAATAAGGGCCTTACAAATAATAATGAGTTTTAGGTATTAAAATGTATGTTTGACATCAGCTCAGGGTGAATGTTGCAATCTAGTTGTTAAAAAAAACACAGTAAGGAAAGTGCATAAAGCTACTGTATAACCCCTTAAAGTAATAATGGTCAGCTCGAAATTAAAAGATGAAAAATTTTAAACACTCAACATTTTAAATCAGGGTAAGGCTACATATTTTTCTTTGTTCAACTCATTTTATCCACAATTTGTAGAGCTGTATCAGATAATCTTAATAGAAATTTTGTACACTAAATACATGTGACAGAATGGTGTATATCTGTTATTGTGACAGCTGGGTTATAAGAATCAATTACTGTTAATTCACTTAATTTTGTGGGAATTAAATTTTGTGGTTTTGTCAAAAAGTACATTTTCATGGGTCTTTAAATTCCTGGATTTTCTATTATTGCATAAAAAGTATTGATTTACAGTAGACTAAATATAATTATTTGGATCATATATCCGTGGAATATATCAATGAAAACCATCAAAATAAGTGCTCAACGAATAATAATGATTTTGCAGTATAGCTTATGGCTCTGAACAGTCATTTCGGATAATCTCAAATATTTTTCACATGTCAGTCTTATGGATTATATTATAAGGAATATACCAGTAAAATACTCAATTATGACTAACAAAAAAGCAAACAAATAATTGAATGAGAATAATCAAGTCATGAATCTGTGAATTTAGACACAACATTCTGAAGACTGTTTAAGTAGGATGCCTCCAGATTTTATGAAAATTTTGAAAATGTATTCAACAGTAACACATTCTGTAATATGCAAAGAAATAGTTAACACATTGCAAATTTATGTCATTTACTAGCCATGTAAATTTACATAAAGAGGTCAAAATATGCAAAAAATTGCCGTACTATGTAAGTTATGGAGTAGAAATGTGGCAATAAATACGGCAGAATCTGTCTGAGTAATCGCACATAACATGTACATGTATGTAAATTATTACTTGAATTTTGAATCTTTCTAATTTTCTTAAAATCTTTTACATTTCTCTCAAGTATGGTTTTCTTGAAATATTTTGGCTCATCTAGCGGCATGCCACTGAAATGCCCTGATTAATCTGACACATACAAGTTTTTTTTCTACAGCATTCACAAAATTTGACAACATTCCTTATTAGCGTCAATCCTATTTTGATGATGACAATATTACATATACTTGTATAAACTCCACACATATATATTTAATATTATTGTTAACATACTTAAAAGACTTCACATATCAAATATTACACATGTCTTTTAGATTTTTTTTTTCATCTCAAAAAGGTAGTTGCAATAATATTACATACAGCCGAGTTTCAACCACTTAGACAGATTCCAAATGAATAGGTCCAATCAAAACCCTACCTGTATTTCCTTTCCAAATCATAAGTACTTACAAAACTTAAAAAGAAATATATATTGTATGAAAAAGGTATTTGTTTAACCTTAAGCCTGCTAGTATCAACTGAGTCTGCCCCCATGTGACAAATGGAGACCAAGATTAGCCAGCTGTGTCATCTGACCATGGTCTGTATTGTTCACTATTTAGTCAGTATATAGTTTGAAAATTGATGGATGCTTTTGTCCAGACTGGAAGATTGTTAAAGTGCATTAATAATTAAAGAGAGTAATACTTACTGTATGAGAATAGGGAAAGAGAAGCATTAAAAGTTTCTTTCCAACATAAGACGTATCTACTGCAAAATAGTATTTTAATTTTGATGTTGACACATATTTTTCTAACTGAAATAAAAAGAAAAACACATTTTTACCATTAAGTAGGCATGATATTTTCAAAAGAAATCAATTTTTTTTCTTGAATGGGTTTTACATTGCTCTGTAAAAAAGGTCTTTAGAACAGATAATTCAAGCTTTACTGGTGGAGGGATCCATGCATTATTTCAGACACCCAAGTAGAACCACAGATGTTCCACAAGCTACAAATGTAGCTGGATAGCTTCCTCACATGAGAGGCAGGTGGTTTGACTTCAGCAACCTTAATTTGGGAATGACTTTCCAATTTTATGTCTAAAAATTAGTTTGATGGGACAGTTAACAAATAACACTTTTATATATAAGTTAACTTAAGTATTAAGAATTTCAGGATTTTAGCACATTTTCATGTAAATTAAACTCTGTAAGATTATTTCATTCAAAGTTTTTTGCTTCAATAAAATCAAATTTACTCACATTTTTATTAACAATATCTTTGCCCTGGCCAGCTAAAGAAGTTCCGTATTGCATAGCCATATTTGCCATTGGATCGTTGAATATTTGTTGCCCAGGAAACTGGTTTCCCCATGCTTGTTCTTGACCTGGTGGTCCACCACCACCAAACTGCTGGGCACCTGTTGATTACAAAACAATTATGCATTGTTCAAGTTGAATGCTAATCTATTTTAGGGTAACGGTAAACCCTTGACCTGCCTGAACCGGGAAAAAATATTCGTATTTGAAAGAAAAGTTCAGTCTGTCTAGGCTATATAAAAATGAATTTACAGATTTCTGTTTAGCCTTCAATGTATCTGTAAATTATGCATTGATGGCTTTCATTTGAAGACAGCAGTCTAACCTCTAGAGAAAGATGAAACAAAACATTCATCAGTATGAAATTGATATTATTTGTTTCTTAAACATCGATATATAGTCTGAATTTGTACACATTTCTCCAACTGAAAAAAATACCATTAATAAAATAGTCAATGATTTGAATTCACAAAGTTGGTTTGCTTGAATTCGGGTTTTTCTTTTGTTATTCAAAAAGAAAAAAAAAGACTAAATATTCTTAACTCTTAATCTTTCAAAGCCAAAAGTTCTAGCGAGACGTGAGTCACATATGACTATCCAGGATGCACTGTATTGGCTAGCTGTACGACACTTTTCAAAATTATATGAAAATCGAAAATGCATACATGTGTTATTTTTGTGTCTTTCAACAAGGATTTATAACAAGTTTTTGTTTGTTTTTGGGTTTTACGTCACATCGACACAGTATAGGTCATATCGCGACGTTCCAGCGTTACTGGTGGAGGAAGACCTCAGGTGCCCTTCCGTGCATTATTTCAGGCACGAACGGGCACCTGAGTAGAACCACCGACGTTCCGTAAGCTAGCTGGATAGCTTCCTCACCTGAATTTATAACAAGTACCCGCATTAAGCCATTTGTCCTAGTATGTTCACTTAAATAAAGATCCTCTGCCATTTTGTTAAAAAAAAAATTGATAATGAAGGTAATGCAAGCATTGTAATCTTGAAAAAAGTGTCAAAGTTGCATGACGCATTATACAACGTACATGCAGTTATATTTATGATTAAATAATTCATAAAAAAACAGTGAATTTAAAAGCAAAAACAATTCTATAATTTTTTTAAAACAGTAGATGAGTATCGAACATAAAACACAATCAATTAGCCGTAATTAAAGCCTATCCAGGGAATAGAATTTTATTCATGCATTTCACGGGACATGCAAACTTTCCCTTATGAAAGTTATGATGGACAAACTTCTAATTTTAGTAATTGTCGCAATTATCAGAGCCCAACAACAATTATTTTCCGTGTTTTTTTTTCATTTTAAAAGGTGCTGAAAATTAAACATATTAAAACAAAAAAGGATTATAAATTTATATTATCACAATTTTGTAAACTATTTCAATTGATGTTTTACAACTGCAACCAAAACGCTCTTTCTCTCTTGCCATCTTGAGATGACACAGATAGATATTCATATTTTCTTTACTGTAGCCAACATGGCGATTAATGTCTAAAAGGTAAACATACTAAGACTAATGCTGCTTCTTG